AAATACTGTTTTTTCATTGGTTTCATTATAAAGGTGTTTGATTTGGCTACCAAATGTCGAAAATGACCATTTTTGTTGACTNTCACAAATTAAAATGCATTTGGCAGCAGATCTTATTTTACACGGTAAAAATATTCAAACACAGCATTGGTCATATATAGCCATAACCTCTGATTGGTTGACAGGTATCACATGGTATAAAAACAGCGTTTTGATTGGTCTAATGTCGAGGCTGTTGATTTGAAATGGATTATGACTTTAGCATTAGTCACATATATACACATAGCCATAACCTCTGATTGGTTGACAGGCATCACATGGTATAAATAGAGTATTTTGATTGGTTTAGAATGGATTAGGTTCGTGAGGTAATACGCTACGTCGCGGGTAAAATGTATGATCTACGTTATAATGTAAGAGATTTATGAGACTAGACATATAAATATCAGCGAATCGTCCCAGTCGACGAGAGAAATACGTTGGATTATTATGAGTTCGGAATAAACTTCCAAATCTTGGATTAAACATAGCTTTTAGTTTATATCTGAAATAAAAAATGTCAAATGATGAAATTACTATTAGTAGACAACTTGAGGTTGCTTAGCCTCATTCTTGGCAAATCTCAACCTAGTCATAAATTTCCGGTTTTCAGAAATACAGTAACAGTGCCGGAGTCAGGTTGATGTCGGAGAGGGGACGAAATATCTGAGGTTGCCTAACTAACCTAGTTATGAGAGTCATGCCCATAAAACTTGCATTAGGGGCTGCGAGGGGAGGCGGCTGTTACTGAAGCAATATTATAGTATAATCATCTTAAGATTTCGTGGCACAGTAGTTATAATTGAAAAGCAACAGATCTAAAACAGATAGAACTATAAAATATATGTCTTACCTTATTTCATCTCGTTCTTCTAACCAAATCTCAATCAACTCGGCTGAATCTAAACTTGATTGATGCTGAAATACAAATATTTACACTTTCATCAAATATTAGGATTAATTTCAAATTTACAAAAGATATAAATTAATTTACACAAAATACACGACTAGGTTTGTGATTTGAATATAATACATTGATATTGGACATCATCATGTGACATCACTTGGTAACAAGCTGATTGTGTATATAAATATTTTTCAAAACATGAGTGTTTAAAGATGGATTTCCTTATTTTTTAGTGTCAAGTTAAGCAAACTATTTGATTAATTGGTGTTTCTAATGAATTATCACGTATTCTTAATCATATCATTATGTAATTATTGTATATAATTTTAAAGTTTTAACCATTCATAAATGTCCACGTACATACAGTCTGTATAAAAATACTTTATGACCTTTCTTGATCTGTCACTCATTGGAATTATGCTGGTAATTCTCTTCTAATTTAGCTAATTATGAATTAATTATAGACATGCGAGACAAACTGGTATTTTTCAAAGTCATTAGAACACCTCTACTTTCTATCCATATAAGTATTAGCATTTTCATTTAAGGGAACCCAACTTTAAAAGGGAATAGTAGACAGGGTTATATAAGCTGTATAATGTTTACTAATAATAAATAATATTACCTGAGATTCCTCTAACTGCTGAACTAATGACACTAACCATTTGACATTCTTCTGATATTCTACAGTATTCATCTTTTCTACATCATTCTATAAATAGAGAGTTAACAGACGTCAACAGGGATGTTGATTGACCGCCAGACCAGCTCAAATGTCCGTCTTTGGCAAAGGATATAGATTGGACAAAGAGTTTTGATCAAAATCAAAAACTTGGTAGAGCTGAATACATCAACTGCCTGGTTTCAGGCTTGACAGTAGTTCAGTGGGAGCAGAACTGAGAATGACCCTAGTTCTTAAACTTTCAGATTTCATTTACCCCTTTTTAACAATAAAACTTCATTGATATCTCCTGGTTCACCATAAATACAGTGAAATAGCGATACAGCCAACTGCTGATACAACATAACTCTACGATTTCAAACTGTCCCAGAAGCCCTTCCATTCCCCACTCCTGTGAGTCTGACTTGTAGAGTCAATATTGAAATGGTTGATAATGAAGATATTTTAAGAGTGACATAACAATCCACCTACCTCTAATTCAGGAATTATACCAGCCGTTCTCCACCCATGTTTTAATGAAGGATCCTGAAATAACAGAAACAAACACTATGATTTTATATAGACAGTTTTCTTTCTTAATTAATTAATTAATTTCCTACATTGGATTTTGAATTCATTGAATCAAGCAGTTTGAATCCTCTAAAAGTGGTTGACGCCTTGATTGCTCATAAATTGCGTAGCAGACAGCAAAGTAGAGAAAACCACATCAACACTGTTGGCAATAAGTATTCTCGAGAAAAAATACTGAGTTGACAAACTTTTAAGCATCAGGTGTTAGGATAGAGTGAGTTTGACCTGCCAAAGGCTGAGATGGGCTCCACAGGCCATTCTTCCAAATGTAAATTATAAAGTGGAGGGGAGGGGCTCTCTGTTCTCACACCCACTGTACAAACGTTACTGGCAACAGACAGTAATTACAGCTCAGCTCTCATAATAGGATCTGGGGAAAAAATTTCAAATTTCTTTGGAAGGATATCTTGAGTAAATATAATTAAAAATCCAACTTACAGCTAAATCACTGTATACATGATCACCAAAATATAACACTTTGTTTCCAAACCAACCAGTCATATCTTTTAATCGTGAAAAATTCCCTTCTTGATAGACACGCCCCTTCTGGAGTTCCGTTACTTTACCCCAGGACTGGGTGTTCCTGACTTCATCTAGTTCACGGAACGGACTGAAAATAGATATGATTTATAACACAGTTTAATGGAGAGCCTGTAAAATACAGGAACTCAGTTTATTGTTATATTTGGGGGCAGATTGATTGACGAGTTCTGCACGTTCAGTATTCAGAACAGAAATCTCAAATAGAGCTCTACCTCAAACAGAACACTGTCACTAATTACAGTCTGCAGCAAATATCAGATTCCAAAAGCATAAGTCTGCACTCTACTTGTACAATACATGTGTTTAGTCTATTCATTTTCCTCTGGTACACAGAAGAAGAATGACATCTGAAGAAGCAATCCAAGATGACAGCTGTAGATCCCATTCACAAATCATCCAAGAATTAGGCCTTAACCAAGCCTAAAGTGCCTCTTTAACATCTCTACCTATGCTGGGATCGAATCTGTCACTTCCTCAAGGTAAGAACAATTGATGCCCGTGCCAGTGTTTCTGCGAGTGAGCCCAGTGTTGCCTTTCACTTCCTATTATCTTTAAGTTAGCTTGCATCTAACTCACTGAGTCAAAACGTGAATTAAAACAAAACTAAAGGTGTGTACATACCGGGAAGTTTCGTTGAAGAATTTCGGTTTTCTAGCGTTAGTTATAACAACATCGAACATTTCTCTCCAATCTTCACCAATCATAAATCTCATACCAGCATCACTAGAACAAGGGCAATAACTCTTTATATGATAGTATAATAATCATATAGTAATATTAGCTTCTCTGGTTGCATCATATTGCATGTAACAAGGACAATAACTCTTTATAAACTTAATTGAGAGTTTTACATGAATATACCAAATATACATTATTAACTATGTGGACTCTCTGTAAGGAATGCTGAGTTGACAAACTGGAACAGAGAGTGGTATTAGGTGATCTGGAAGAGTAAGCATGGTCTGCCTGGGAAGTAACACCGCACAATAAAGTAATATGATATATTTTTTTATGTATTCTAACGAATAGAACTAATTGTCCACTAGATAACCAAATCAGATCAAAACGCAACTACACGTAAACACATGCTTATAATGTTACTACCATAATGAATTCATGATGTGTAGATCTACATACCATAATGAAATCTAGTCATCATAATTCCAAATTATAAAAACAAATACTCACACGAAATTAAAGCCACTGTTTGTGATGAGAAATAATTTTTTATTAGACGATCTCAATCTTTCTAATAAATATTTTGTTTTTTCACATTTCATTAGGTACAAATCTAAAATAGA